CATTTATAGTATCTCTAGTAAAAATATCAGTCAAAATAATAAGAAAGTACTAAAAAAATGTGTACATAACTTATGCATCTAAAAAAAATTATTGTATCTTTTATTTAATAAAAGGAATAAATTTGGACTTAAAATTCATATAATAGTTTATTCTAGAGGATATAAATAAAACAAATTTTATTTTACTTAATTAAATATTAAATACATGTTAAATGAGGCTCTTTCTTAAAATATGTTACTACCTACTTCACATTGTGTTGCATTTTTATCATCTTAAAATATATAATTTTTAAAACAAGCCATGCCTGAATTTCTAGAAGGAGATGGAAAAATGAAAATAACGGGACCTTCTATAGAAAACGGAATGAAATTTTAAATTTAAAAATTAAATAAATTTTAAATTGGAATAAGAGATGTAAGAATGATAAGTATAATGAAGACTTCTAGATCGAGCCCACATCAATAAGATGATGGTAACAAACGACTAAACTTCATCTTTTATTAAAATGACCTCCAATTTTGTATGAAATTGGGGGAGTAAAAATCCATTCCTCCGCTTTTTTATACCCCATAAGTTCTTTTATAGAGTGGTATAGATTGAGGTATGAAATTGATTTTATTTCCATAGTACAGGCGTAAACCATCTAACTATTATCATCAGATTTTGAAATATATAAAAAAATGGAGGAAATTAAATTTTATCATTAGAAAAAGATTATTACTTACGATTGAAATAAATACACGAGATTATAAAACTTAAGATAAAGATTGAGGGAGTAAATACAAAAAATAGAAGATAAAAAAAATACGGGGAAGGGAATAGTGCAACAGAATCGCGGTAGGAAGCGCATAAAGATTTGGAGAGAGAAGAATAAAATGAAACAACATTTTAAAAAAGAGATAAAAGGCAAAAGGATAGATAAAAGGGAAAAATGCTTCCAGCCCCCAAAAGCCAAGTGAACATGCTTCCCACCCCCAGGACTTGGTCAATGGGTGTTTTACCCCTAAAAATAAAGAATCTGTTCTCTGAGCCCCCAAAACACAAAACCCAAGACATTAAAACATGTGAAGACCATAATACCCTTCTCTCTCTCTTTCTTTTTTTATTAAAATATGATGGAGGATTATTTTATTATTTTTGTTTTTTCTCTCTCTTTATCATGATGTACCAAGAGGATAGTTGAAATGATTGATGATGATTATTTTATTATTTTCGTTTTTTATTATTTTGGTTGTTTGTATTGGGAGGTTGTTAAAGTTACGGGTTGATTGTTAAGGTTACGGGTTGGTTGTTAAGGTTAAGGGTTTGTTGTTAAGGTTATGAATCCTCTCTCTCTCTCTTTCTTTTTTTATTAAAATATGATGGGGATTATTTTATTATTTTTGTTTTCTCTCTCTCTTTATCATGATGTACCAAGAGGATAGTTGAAATGATTGATGAGGATTATTTTATTATTTTCGTTTTTTATTATTTTGGTTGTTTGTATTGGGAGGTTGTTAAAGTTACGGGTTGATTGTTAAGGTTACGGGTTGGTTGTTAAGGTTAAGGGTTTGTTGTTAAGGTTATGAATCCTCTCTCTCTCTCTTTCTTTTTTTATTAAAATATGATGGGGATTATTTTATTATTTTTGTTTTCTCTCTCTCTTTATCATGATGTACCAAGAGGATAGTTGAAATGATTGATGAGGATTATTTTATTATTTTTGTTTTTTATTATTTTGGTTGTTTGTATTGGGAGGTTGTTAAAGTTACGGGTTGATTGTTAAGGTTACGGGTTGGTTGTTAAGGTTAAGGGTTTGTTGTTAAGGTTATGAATCCTCTCTCTCTCTCTTTCTTTTTTTATTAAAATATGATGGGGATTATTTTATTATTTTTGTTTTCTCTCTCTCTTTATCATGATGTACCAAGAGGATAGTTGAAATGATTGATGAGGATTATTTTATTATTTTCGTTTTTTATTATTTTGGTTGTTTGTATTGGGAGGTTGTTAAAGTTACGGGTTGATTGTTAAGGTTACGGGTTGGTTGTTAAGGTTAAGGGTTTGTTGTTAAGGTTGTGGATTTGTTGTTAAGGTTGTGGATTTGATTGTTAAGGTTACGGGTTGGTTGTTAAGGTTAAGGGTTTGTTGTTAAGGTTATGAATCCTCTCTCTCTCTCTTTCTTTTTTTATTAAAATATGATGGGGATTATTTTATTATTTTTGTTTTCTCTCTCTCTTTATCATGATGTACCAAGAGGATAGTTGAAATGATTGATGATGATTATTTTATTATTTTCGTTTTTTATTATTTTGGTTGTTTGTATTGGGAGGTTGTTAAAGTTACGGGTTGATTGTTAAGGTTACGGGTTGGTTGTTAAGGTTAAGGGTTTGTTGTTAAGGTTGTGAATCCTCTCTCTCTCTCTTTCTTTTTTTTATTAAAATATGATGGGGATTATTTTATTATTTTTGTTTTCTCTCTCTCTTTATCATGATGTACCAAGAGGATAGTTGAAATGATTGATGAGGATTATTTTATTATTTTCGTTTTTTATTATTTTGGTTGTTTGTATTGGGAGGTTGTTAAAGTTACGGGTTGATTGTTAAGGTTACGGGTTGGTTGTTAAGGTTAAGGGTTTGTTGTTAAGGTTGTGAATCCTCTCTCTCTCTTTCTTTTTTTATTAAAATATGATGGGGATTATTTTATTATTTTTGTTTTCTCTCTCTCTTTATCATGATGTACCAAGAGGATAGTTGAAATGATTGATGAGGATTATTTTATTATTTTCGTTTTTTATTATTTTGGTTGTTTCTTTTTGCTTTGGGCTTTCTCTCTTTGAGAAAGCTAAGCGAAAAAAATCCTCAACTATTTTAAGGATCCATTTACCAAGTTGCCACCTTTGTCTTCTTGGTGAGCTCTTCCCCCGTTGTTATTGGGTTGTTTGGTTCTTTCATTTTGGTGTGTTTTCCTCTTTTACGGAACTCCTTAGTTTGATTGTCCCTTCCTCTGTATTTGATTCATGGGTTTGTTTCAAAATTTTAGCTCGGAAGTCTAATTTTATTCAGTTGATTTTATTTGTGATTCTCCTTGGCCAACAGAAACAAGTGTTATTTCATTTGTTTCAATTTTTTGTTTTGGTTTTTTGTGCTCTTATGCGAAAGCCTTGTCAGATGAGGAGAAGCTTATTTTGATAAGAAAAAGAAGTTTTCATCTCAACTTTCATTGGATCTGTGTATTCCCCTGTTCTGATTGGAGAGAAGCTTATTTTTTGAAAAAATAAAGTGTTGTTTTATCTAAAATTTTCTCTTGGGTCTATTACTCTGTGTTCCCCTGTTCTGATCGAATTCACCCTTTTTTATTTTCTTGGATTATTTTTTTAAGTTTTTAAGTTTATAGTTGATCGGCTTTGTTGTAAAAGATGAGAAATATATACTTTTCCTAATCTTCTCACTTCCCCCCCTTGTTTTGCAGTATTATTCACTTGTTCATCTTTGCAACCAGTGAAGGCACCTCCTTTATTTACTTAATCACGTCCTTTTTCAATGACACATAACAAAATAAGAACCAAAGCTTCCTTAATTTGTATTGACGTTACTAACTAAAAATTTTTTTCCCTCTCTGATTGTCTTGTATGATGCAGTGATGGGCGATCATCTAGCTCTACTAGTGGACCGCTTGCTCACTGAATCTACACTTGAGGCCACCATCGAGAACGGAAAGCGGGCGCAAAATCCACCCGACCCGGTATACTCAGTGGTCTCTATTGAAGAATTTAGTGAGAAGAGGAAGGATGAGAGGTTGGCGGAGTGCAGAATTTGTCAAGAGGAAGATGAAGCATCCAACATGGAGATTCCTTGTTCTTGTTGTGGGAGTTTGAAGGTAATAAAATAAAATTGAAGCACTGAAGCCTACTAGTTATGTTTATCTTGTGCTTGATTCGAGTGTGTAAGTTGTGTATGATTGGTTTATGAACTAAAATGGTTCATTTTTGTTGCACTAGGAATTTGCTTTTATAACCGCATAATCTTAAATTTGATTCTAAAGTTTGACTCTGTACAACAAATCTCCAATTCAGAGTAGATATTACCTACTGAGATATACATTTTTGTGGACTTCGGTTGTGAAATAAAATTCCATTTTGTATGTACGTCACCTATTCTGCTGACATTCAACATGTAGTAGTTAGTATTAGAGAAATTTCTTTTTCTTTGTTTCTTGAAGTTTAAGCTTATGCTTTGCAAAATTTTGTGTTTGAGGATTGGTAGGAATTAACCAGTTAGCTTTCAGTGCATCACTATCTTCTTGTTCTGTGCAGTATGCTCACCGAAAATGTGTCCAAAGATGGTGCAATGAAAAAGGCGACACAACATGCGAGATATGTCTTCAGGTCTTATGTCACACATTCGATTATTTTTCTTCAGTTTTTAATAAAAAATAAGCTGGATACTAATTTCAAGCTTCGTTATGAATTTTTTGTGACTCCCAGCAATTCAAACCAGATTATACTTCTCCTCCTCAGTTGTTTCACTATGGCGGCATTCCAATGAATTTCAGGTATTGCTCTTCATCAAATCTCTCGTGTGTATATACGGCTCAGTTGTATATAGGCCATTGTATCATACATTATTATTTTTCACCCTTATACATATATACATATGCATATGCATATACATACACACACACACACACACACATATATATATATAGAGAGAGAGAGAGAAATGGGTATGCTTGGTACCAAGCACAAAAAGTTGTGTTTGGTAGTGATGTGGCATAATTCACTCCGCTCATTCAAATGGTTGCATATCCTCATGCACTCCTCAACACATGTGAATGTGGTCCCCTATTTGAATGAGTGGAGAGGATTGTGTCATCTCACTACCAAGCACAAAATTTGTGCTTGGTACCAAGCATACCCATATTTCTCATGTATATATATATTCTGCTACAGTAATTCTGTATTTAAATACAGTTTTTGTAAATGCTACAGTAACATTTTTTTAATACTACATTATCTCGCCTGAGCTATAGTAATGTTTTTAAACGCTACAATTCCCGCATGTGCTACAGTAATTTATTGTAGCATGAATAGCGAATATTGGATCCTTCTGTCTGTGCTACAGTAATTTGTTGTAGCATTTACTGCAGTATGAATAGTGAATCTTGGATCCTCCCATTATTATAGAGGAATACACACACACATATATAGAGAGAGAGAAATGAGTATGTTTGGTACTAAGCACAAGTTTTTGTGCTTGGTAGTAAGGTGACATATTCCCTCCACTCATTGAAATTGAGACCCATATTCACATGAGTTGGAGAGTGGTTGAAAATTGGAATGAGTGGATGAGAATAGTACACCTCACTACCAAGCATAAAATTTGTGCTTGGTACCAAGCATACTCATTTCTCTTATATATATATATATATATATGTTTGGTACCAATCACAAATTGTTGTGTTTGGTAGTGAGGTGTCACATTCCC